TCATCCAAGCTTTGATTTACATGTGCATGTTGTTATCAACCCAGATCTGCTCAATAAGGCCATTTAAAGCTTCTCGCATCTTCTTAGCTCTAGCTTTCATGACTGGACCTCTTGGAATATGTAATGGATCTCTTGACGTGATACATATGGGGTCATCTTGATTCCCATCATAATTTTAAAGGAAAAAAAAAAAACTCTATCTTCTTAGTTGTCCAGAATTCAAACAAAACCTTCTATCTCCTTATTTGACCAGAATTCTCACCTTTCCTTGTTATTGTGGGATTTCTTCTTCTTTAAGAATTTAACCACAGATTTTTACTCTTTTTAAGGTTTTTTGCCACAGGCTTGTGCTTTTGATCTTTTTTTTTCTATTCTTTTTTTTCTTTTCCTTTTCTTCTTCTTTATCTTTTTTTTTAATAAAATTTTTGTGCTTTTCTTCTATATTTTGCAGACAACATAGACTAATCAAGACAAGAAGAAAAAAAACCGATTACAAATTCTAAAAGTGAACAAGGGTTGCTAACAAGGAGAAAAAAAAAATTGAAGATTAGATAAGCAAACCAAATTTAGAACTTGGTGCTCTGATGCCAAGATGATGTGAACCACAAAGAGCACAATGAGAGCCACATGCACAACAAGGAGATTTGAAACCCAAGGAAAGCCAAATCAGATTTATAGACGACAAACCTTAACTCATTCTTTATGTTGAAACAGGAACCAAAAGTATAAAGGAATTTTGATGCCACACTCAAGAATGATTAAGAATACGAGTGATAAGTCAAATTAGAACACCACAAGAATAATCTTGATAAATTTTGTAAAGTTCACAAAGGAACCAAGAGAAAAGTCTCTCAAAAAAAATCTTAGAATCAATTATGTCCCCAGTTACAGTTACTAGCCTTTAAATAGCTAAATTAGTCCAAATCAAAATAGGAAATTGGATTCTATACACAAATCTAATTAAAAGTAGGATTGGATCTACACTACTCTTAAAAAGGCTTGAATTTGTACTATTTCTAATAAGACACCAATTGCACTTCAATTAAAAGCAATTTTTAGCCTAAATAACTCATAAAAATGAAAATATAAGTAAAAATAGGATAAAAATTGTGCAAAACAACTTAAATTAGTGCAAAATATCAATTCACGATAGATTGTAGTAGAATTATGCATTTGTGCCCAAATTAAGTGATTTTGATCCAAATTGTGCAACTTAGTTTAAAAAACCTCAAATAAGTTGTCCTTGGACTTGAATAATGTTTACTAAGGCTCAACAATCCTCCAAGCTTTGATTCACTTGTTGTGTGTTGGTTTTAGCCAAAATCTCCTCAATAAGTGCATCTACAACTTCTCGCATCTTCTTAGCTCTTGCTCTATCGAACCTCCTTGAGTATGCAATGGATCACTTGATGTCATATGTATGCTATCATCTTGATTCTAATTACCTCATATACCTCAATTAAAGGGCTAAAGAGATCTTTTCTCATAAAATTGAAAGGGATGAAATCTTGACTCATCCATTACTTTGGTGTGATTCATGATGCACCCAATAACTGTATTATTCATAGCCCCTTGAAGTGGTCACTTTTAACAACACCAATGGACATGAGCCCTTGCATAGAATAATGAATATCTTAAGTCAAAAGATCACTTTCACTTGCATCATAGCTAAGAAGTTCCTAATGACATGACTTGCATCATAGCTAAGAAGTTCCTAATGACATCACTTGCATCATAGCTAAAATGTTACTAATGACATAAGTATGCAGTGTTCTCATGACGGGTTAGTCCAATGCACTCACTTACTTGGAGTCACGCACATGTGATGGGTGATTTCATAAGAAGAAGTCTTACCATCTGGCAAAGTATTGCACATGATAATCTTTATATCATTGATGTCCCATCTCAATGATATATATGACTGTTAGACAATTTAAGGATATTATTGCACCATACAATTCTCACTAATAGTGATGGCTACTATTACCTTTTGATGCAACAAACATTTATTTTAAGGACTTTATTGATATTTAACGTACACAGAAAAATAACAATTAATATTTGCTAAAGAATGTCATAAATATAATGAATGCAATCACAAGTACATTAAATTGTCTTGCCAACCCAGTTGGCTTGTAGGGCATACTCTAATAGTTTGGTACAGTCCATACTAAAAGACAAGGAAACTTTAATAGAATATTTAATGATTCATCTCTTTGCTATGGATGATTGAAATTTGTTCAACTCTTATCCTACATTTTATAGATAATTTTTGTTTTCATCTAGAAAGTTATGATAAATTTCAACTATTTATAATGAAAAAAAGAAAGATCAAAATTTTATGTAAGTGATGTGCGTGTTGTAAGTAGAATAAATTCATATATATAGAGAGAGAGGGACAAGTTAGTAGTCCACCATTTTTTTTTTAGGACATGTCTACAACCTCACATTTTAATTAATATTTTCAACAACCAATCGTTTGATTAAATATTCTCTTCATATAATTCATATATGCCAATTTTTCAAATTAATCTAACATTTATAACCCAATGAAAAAACTCAATTTACAAACATATATTTAATGATGTTAAATTTTCTATAATCAATGAATAAGTGATGTAAATCCAAGTTCAACTTTAAAGGATTCAATTCAAGTTCTCGTTGGACCAGTTACGAGGGCTCGAGCTAAGAAGTTCAAGGAAGTGCTTAATGGGCTGATTCGAGAAATATGGACTCAAGCAAATTCGTGGAGGCTCATTGAGAGAAGTCCATGTGAGCCTCAAATTTGCATCAACCTAATCCAAGTTCTAAAAGACTCTACCAAAGCTAAGCCTAATCTTTGCAAATAATGGTCATGAACTTTGGGCATGAATTCAACAAGCATTTTGGCTCAAATTCATTACTTTCCTTTTTTGGGTTTTGGCTTGCATGCCAAGTTTTTTTTTTCTTTCTTTGGTTGAATTACACAGTTTGCATCAAATCTGCCACAGTTAGCCACAAATTGATATTTCACAATGTTTTAGGTTATTTAAGCTTATTTTTACATTTTTTGTGTTATTTAGGCTAAACATTCGTTTAGTTGAAGCCCAAATTCATGGTTATTAGGGTTAGGACCTAGTTTGTTAATTTCCTATTTTGGTTAGGATTAGTTTTAGCTATTTATAGGACTATAACCCTAATTGTAGAAGGGAGGATTATTCATCATCATTGAGAGAATGAATTCTCTCTAGTTCTTTGAACAATGTTTCGAACTTATCGGAATTATCCGTGGGGTTCATCCTCGACTTATCAATCAACCCTTCCATATTTGATTGTGGCGTCTTCTCCATACCAAGGTTCTTACTTCATCATAGGTAGCAGGTCGCGGTTCCATCCCTCGAACTTGTCTTAGAAACAGTCTTGGTGCCTTGTTTGTTTACGGGTTTCGTCACAAGTTGGCGTAGTTCATATCAGTTTGGTATCAGAGCATTAGGTTCTAAATTAGGTTTGCGTATCTTTAATCTTTCAGTTTCTTCCATTAAAAAGAAAAAAGAGTTAGTTTCGTTCTTTCCTTTGTTGTCTAGAACTCTACTTGTCTTGATTTTCTAAATCTGTGCTGCTGGTTCTAAAAAAAAAAAAAGTACGAAAGTTTAAAAAAAAAAAAAAGAAGAAAGAGAAGGAGTCAGAGAAACAAGAAGTTTGTGGTTAGTGGCCAAATCCTTGAAGAGAAAGGAATCCTACTACAATAAGGAGTAGAGATTGTCTTTGAATTTTTAGTCAAATAAGAAGTTTGAGATTTGTTTGAATTTTGGTCAAATTAGGAGATAGCACTTTTGTTTGCTTCTTCTTCTTAATTTAGGAGTCCTACTGTCTTAAGGATTCGTCAATCTAATTCCTACTAGGAATAGTCAAACTGATTTGTCTTTCTTGCTTTTTTATTGTTTCCTTCCATTGTTCTAATATCTAGGAGTCCTAATCTGACTTTACCTTAAAGTGCAAAATTTTTTTTGTCCAAAATTTTTGTGTTTTTTGTGAATTCCAAAATCTAGTCGATACGTGTTCATTGCAGTCATCCTTTTAAAACTCGAATTTTGGTTGGTAAGTTTCTAGTGAATTGCTATTGGGAATTTTGAATATTGTTTGTTTAGTTTGAAAAGAACTGAAAGAGAATTCACAAGTGGAAAAAGGCAAGAGTGGTGAGCATATTAGAGAGTAAAAGCCAATTCAGTGAAACACGAGCGAAATTGAGTGATACATATTTTTTTGAGTGAAACACGTGAGGGAGTGTGATGAGGTCTTTTCCATATTGTTTCTAACCCCATTTTGCAGATTACAAGCATGTCACGACACCGAGAAGAAAACTCGAGTGAAGAACTTCCACAACAAACCCTTCCAAACCTACAGGTGTAGGCAACATTGGGAGAGGTGTAATGGATGATAAATAGGTTAATTGAACCCATGCAAGAGCAATTGGAAACGTTACAATTGGAGAATAGGAGACAACAACGAAATTCTCTCGCTCAACCACCACCTAGGCAGACACAGCAAAGAGAACATTGGGGCAACATAGAAGAAGAAAAGGAGTTGGAAAAGTTGAATGAGCCACCATTGAATCGAGGTAGGTTTAGGCATGGGAATGGGAATAAAGAAGTTAGCAATTGGGAAGACAATAGTTTGGGCAGCCTTAACATGAAGATTCTGCCATCCCAAGGAAAAGTAGATTCGGAAGCTTATCTTGAGTGGGAAAGGAAGGTGGAGTTGGTCTTCGATTGTGACAATTATTCCGAGCTTAAGAAGGTGAGACTGACAGTCATTGAATTTTCCAACTATGCTCTTGTTTGGTGGGATCAGTTGGTGATGAATAGGCATCAGAACCAGGAGCATCTAATTGAAACATGGAAAGAGATGAAGGCGGTGATGAGGAAGCAATTTGTGCACAGCCATTATTATCGGGAATTGTACAAAAGTTGCAAAGGCTTAGGCAAGGACATTGGAGTGTGGAGTATTATCAAGAGCTGGAGAAAGCCATGATTAGAGCTAATGTAGAAGAAGACCGAGAGGCAACAATGGTGAGATTCTTACAAGTATTGAATCTAGACATCCATGACTGGGTGGAGATGCATCATTATGTGGAGTTAGAAGACATGGTGCACATAGCCATCATCGTAGAGCAACAGCTCAAGAAGAGATGACCTTTTCCAAGTCTTAGAGCTCATCAACGATAATGCTTACAAGCTAGATTTACTAAGTGAGTACAATGTTAGTGCCACTTTCAATGTTACTCAACCTTTTGATGCAGTAGACGATTTGAGGACAAATCTTTTTCAAGAGGAGGGGAATGATGTAAACTAAGGTTTAACTTTAAAGGAATCAATTTAAGTTCCCGTTGGACCAATTATGAAGGCTCAAGCTAAAAAGTTGAAGGAAGCGCTTAACAAGCTAATTCGAGAAATATGGACTCAAGCAAATTCATGGAGGCACATTGAGAGAAGTCCGTGTGAGCCTCAAAATTGCATCAATCTAATTCAAGTCCTGGAAGACTCTGTCAAAGCCAAGCCTAATCTTTGCAAGTAATGGTCATGAACTTTGGGTGTGAATTTAGCAAGCATTCTAGCTCCAATTCATTACTTTCCTTTTTGGGTTTTGGCTTGCATGCCAAGTTTTTTTTCTTTTTTTCTTGGGTTGAATTACACAATTTGTGTCAAATCTACCACAATTGACCGTAAACTGATATTTCACAATGTTTTAGGTTATTTAAGCTTATTTTTACGTTTTTTGTGTTATTTGGGCTAAACATTCATTTAGTTGAAGCCCAAATTCATGATATTAGGGTTAGGAGCTGGTTTGTTAGTTTCCTATTCTAGTTAGGAATAGTTTTAGCCATTTATAGGGCTGTAACCCGAATTGTAGAAGGGACAATTATTCATCGGCATTGGGAGAACGAATTCTCTCTAGTTCTTTGAACAACTTTTTGAACATATCGAAATTATCTGTGGCGTTTATCCTCGACTTATCAATCAGCCCTTCCATAGTTGATTGTGGCATTTTTTTCATACCAAGGTTCTTACCTTGTCATATGTAACGGGCCGTGGTTCCATCCTCTCGAACTTGTCTTGAAAACAATCTTGGTGCCTTGTCTTGTTTACGGGTTTCGTCGCAGGTTGGCATAGTTCATATCAATAAGTTAGATATGTTTAGATCAATATGAAAATGGGCTTTCGTGATCAACATGAATATAACTTTTAATCTAACAAATGGTTTTTATAAATATTAATTAAAATATGAAATTGTTTAAGATTTCCTCTAAAAGGATGTCCTAGAAAACGTATAAGAATAATTCTATTAGTCTTAACTCCATAAAATCTCAATTCAAAAACACCTTCTTATAATCAATATTTTGAAAAACCAATAATTAGATCAAATTGATCTAACGTCTATAATCATTTAATTAAGAAACTATACTTAATAGTATTAAATTCTTATATAATCATAGAATTAATTAGATATATTCAATCAAACTGGGCCTTTGGGCCCAAAAGGTTCACCCCCAAGTCGTTAAGGGCTTGGGTTAAGTTGATCAGGGTTTCAAGCCTCGTCAATGCCTTGAAAATCCCCATCCCCCTTCCTCAAAAATTGAAAACTGTTAAAAAAATAGATATATTCAATCAATCTAAAAATTAACATGCATGACATGAATAAAAT